TATAACAAAACGTATTTATAAAATTAAACGTATATATATAACAAAACGTATTTTAAAACATATTTATAATAAAACGTATTTATAATAAAACATATTAAAAATAACAAATTTTAAAGATATTAATAACATATTATAAATTTGTTAATTACCAAAAATTTGAAAAAAAAATAAAAAAATATTTTTTTTTTGCAAAGGACCGGCTATAACCAGTTATGGGACCGGAACCGGGACCGGACAGCTTAACCGGTTACCGGTAAGCTTGACCGGTTATGAGGGATTTCACCGGAACGGGGACCGGTTATGATGAGACCGATTATGAAGGGTTTTTGTCTTGATCGGAACCGGCCGTAGCCGGTTAAGGCCCGGCCCAGGACCGGTTTAGGCCCGGTCCAGGACCGGTCTTTGGCCACCTCTATTGTCATATACCTCTTCCACTCATGAAGAGACACTCTAGCTTCATTTTTATGTTTAACAAAAAGACATTAGCTTAGGTATTTTTGTATATATGATAAGTGTATTAACAATTACTTTTGATTTAAGAATTGCCACGTTGTGTATTCAAAAAACTATAGAAGAAATAGAAAAATAAAATGTTATTCTTGTTATGAAAACCAAGTTTTATTTCATCCGGGTATTTTTAGATCATACCAATGTTTTTATTTTTTATTTTATATCACCTACAAAAAAAACGCAGAAAGAGGAACAGTCTAAACGGAAATTTGGAGATTGTATACGACTTATATACCCACTTTTCAATGTAATTTTATAACTATGTGCTGATATTGACCGACTAATATAAGAAGGAAAAACAAGTCTTGTTTAGAAATGACGTAAATCTACCATTTGAGAATACACTATTAATATATAGGCAAAAGCTTATTACAGACAACTCCAACCGTCCACATGCATGCAGAATGAAACTCGCCTCCAAAGACGTACACCAATATAAGAGGGATCACTCTAAAATTAGCGGAAAGCCCTGGATTTGAACTCGAGATCTATCTTGTATCTAGACAAAGTTATTCCATCCTTTTATTAACCGAGTTACACGTCAAAAGCAAACTCTAAGTAATATTCCTTTATCAATTTCTTGTATAATTTTTTTGCATAGATTAAAGAGTAATCGAGTTGTAGCATCCCAACTCCAAACCCCACAATATATCACCATGGACATGGAGTGGTGTGTCGTCCCCACATAAATTAAGCTACACCACAAATAAAAGGGCCCTTATGGATAATAACGAATAATGTAATTAAGCAGAAAAAAAACGTGTCATAAAGATTTAAAAGAATTGTTTGAAAGATGCATTTAATAATAATAACAATAAGATCTTGAATTCCCGCCCATCTATTATCTATATATACCAACCTCTTGCTTATAATTAATATATAACAGACATGATTATGAAGCCATCGGCCATCTTTTATGCTTCCTTCATTCTCTTCATCATCACCACCGGCACTGCATCCGCCACCCAAGTTGTAGTAAAAGATGCTACTGGGAAAAAGGTCTTGAACAATGTTCCCTACCACATTGGTCCAGTCACCGCCGCCAACGGTGGCGGATTCAAGTTAGCCAAAACCATGAACAATAAGAGCATTTGCCCTTTCAACGTGGTGCAGGATCCATCTGCGGCTAACCTAGGTGACACGTTCACGTTCACTCTCAATTACAAGCGGCCGAAATATCTCCACACAGATGGTGTTGTTGGTATCGATTCGGGGTATCCGAAGACAGGTCCATGTCAGAAGTCGACGTTTTGGACGATCCCTGACGCTGAGGCAAAGGCACCAGATAACTTGGTAACAACTGGTGGCGGATTCGAAGAGGATATTACATGTTTTCAGCTTGTGGAGCATCCTAAGCCAACGAACCCGAAAGTGCACAGCTACATGATTCAACATTGTCCCTCGTTTTGTGGTTCAGGTCCTCAAACTTGCTTTAACGTAAGCATTTACGTAGATAAGGGGGTCAGACGTTTGGCTTCAAGGGGTACTCCTTTTGAGTTTGTGTTCTATAAGGTGCCCAAGTAACTCATGTTATTTCCATAATATATTAATCTGGAGCTCAAAATAAGGAATATGCATTAGTCCTTGTGGATTTCATTCCAGGGAGACTCATTTCCAATAAAACAAGCTATGTTTGTACCCTTGTATATCATGCACTTGAGTGATGAAATTCACTATTCAACAATTAAGCTAACGAGCGGCCCTAATTACTAATTAGTGCCAAATCAAGAAAACAAAATCGGAAACGTTCTACTGTAATCCAAATCTATAACATGACTTTGATTAGTTAAGATGGTGATACAAATTAAGAGGAGTGTCGACAGATTCCTATTTCAAGTACAAACATAAATTACGCAGATGGCTTCTTGAACACAAATTTGAAAGGAGTACCGCTAGAAGCAAGATACTTGGTGCCTCCGTAAATTAAACACAAGTGCTAACGTTAAAACAACAACGAGGACCTGCACCAAAAATTGAGAAGCAGTGTTGAAGCAGGTAGCTGTGTACTTGGGCACTCGTTGGCTTCGGGTACTTGACAACCTGAAAACATGAAACTGCGGTTTCAAATTGCCCACCACTCGTGATAAAGTTAGAAGGTGGCTTTGATTCAGCATCGTCAAACTTCATAAATGATGTATCCTCACATTTACCAGACGATTTGGTTAAAGTCGATGGAGACATTAAAAGGAAACGATGTAGTAATTAACTTCTCTTTGGCACCATTTTGTGTGAATGTAACCTATTTCGGATCCTGGATCACATGGACTGACTGGCACTAGGTATTGGCAACTTGACTCCACTGCTCATGGTTTGGGTTGATCGGGTTGAAGACATTTGAATAACTCAACCTAATGTTTGTGGTTTGAAAAATCTTAACTCAGCTCAGCCCAACCCGAACCAAAATGCAACCTAACCCAGCTCAGCCCAACCCGAACCAAAGTGCAACCCAACCCAGCCGTACGGGTTGGTCGGGTTGATACTTTGGTACATTAAAATATTCTTATAACCCAGAATATGTTGTTTATCTACTCATAATTTCTTTTTTATCATTAAACATTTGATACAATTTATCTATATTTCTTACGTATATCATATTCAGTTAATTTTCTCAATTTACATATATATGTTCACAGTTACTGAACATATATAGGAATGCGTTATATAAAAATGTGAATATATTGAAAATATGTGTATATGAAGAGCATACATGGTAGTGTAATTGTTTAATGTACATATTAATAAAAATTCAATAATCATATTAAATCCAATAAATAAAAGGATATTGGGTTCATCGGGTTGGGTTCAAATAATAGTAATTCAATATCAACTCAATACCTACGATTTGACAATTTTACAGCTCGATTAGAAATCGGGTTGCTTCGGATTGAATTATTTCGTGTTGGTTGAGTTGGATTGATCGAGTTGGTTGTGTTGTGGGGGATCTGTGGCGGATATGGATAAACGTTGACTTTGTTTGACTTTTTTGGGATCCGTCGGAAATATTTCCGACGGAATTTCTGCCAGAAAAATTCGTCGGTGATACCCTTTTTTTAGTAGTGTACAAGAAAAGCTTTTTTACGCGATTGTAAAGGGTTTTTTTTTTTGTACGATTTTGGAACCATGTGAAAACCCACCATGTAAGATTAATGTAGCTGACCATTTCACACGGTTCTAAAACCGCATGAAAAGATGCGAAAAAACCATATAAAAATGGGCGCTAGCTTCATGCTACAAAGATCGACTCTTATCACTTATGTTTCTTAACATGGTATGTTGATAGGTCGGGGTTGGTAGAGTAATTAATTCGAGAAAAGAGGAAAAAGTTTAATTTCCATGTGCATACCAAACTAAAATTTATAATACATACAGAGGTGAACCTATAATATTTTTTTTAAATGGTAACATCAGAATATAATATTCAACATAAGTTAAAAAAGAGTATACATTATTTAAATCATTTTGAAGCTATTTTTTTAAAAGCAACTGGAAGTGTATTAACGGCTAGCAAAAGAGAAGAAAGTACATTAGGGGGCCTGGATACAATCGATAGGAGGATATCTCCACATGATCAGGTTTTTAACACACCCTTTACACCTACCCAAAATCCAACACAACGATTTTCCATGATTTGATCGAGGAGGATATTTTTACAGGGAGGAGAACTATCAAAAACGCCTTTGTTTCGAAAGCACCAGAGGATTTAGCAACTGATGAAGAAAATCCATTCCAGAGCTGTCTTGACGCGGCTGTCCTTGCAGAAAGAATTAATTCTGTTGATCATCGAGTTCATCGACCTTTCCTCGGAGAAGGATACCGACCGCCATCTTTCTATGAATCTCCATACCTTCAACGCGCCACAGTGCATTCAAACAATACGTGGGAAGTAGACTCAGATCCGGTGCCACGAACAGGACATAACGTAGAATTCATATCCAGGTTTATCTTGTTAAAGTTGACCTGAGTCGGAGTTCTATCAAGCGTAACTCTCCACATAAATATGTTAACTTTCTGAGGAATCAGATGATTCCATATCGTCTTCTTTTCTCCCACCCCCAAATAGTGCTCTCAATGATACGCCTCAACGACCCAACTGAAAACATACCATTCGGAGCTAGTTCCCATCTCCAACTGTTAGGTTTGTTGGACATGGAGCAATCTTTGATGGTTTCTTTGAGTTGCTCGAATTCCTCAACTTCGTTCCGATCGCAAATGGGTCTACGCCAATCCGAGGTGTCCGCCACAAAGCACTCCACATATAATAAGTACGGGCTTCAGTTTGCAAGATTAAAAAAATAACCTATATATATTGATACAGCTGAAATTACGATAAAAATCTCCTTTGTAATAAGGAGAAGAAGTGAAAGATCATGATTTTGGTGGTAACATCTGTGCATGGTTGCTATACTATATTATAAAATATTATAAAAAAATTAGAAACCATTTTTATATAATTAAAATATTATTTAAAATTCAAGATTACAAGTAATTTTTATGTAATAACAACTTATTAAAATTCTATTTTTGAATTTATGTAACTAACTGCAGTTAAACATAATCATATACAAGATAAACATCACATTTTAAATATAAAAAATCTAAAATATAATTAGGATAATAATTGAATTCTAACAGAATACTTAATTATTATTTTTATAAAGGAATATATTATTAAAGTAAAATTAAATTATTTAGTTATTAAAACTAAATTAAATTATAATAATAAAGTAAATTATAGCAATTACAAAAAAGAAAACTTTTAAATACTTAATTTGATACTGATATTGATATTTTTTTTCAAATTTATATTTTTATTTAAAACTGTATAATATTGATAGAGATAATAAAAAATAAAACATGAAAACCGAGATGTGTCTTGTTACAAGTATCATTCTAGTAATATCTAATAAATGTATAATATAATAACTTAAAAAGAAGGTTAGAATGTTATTCAAATTTATTATCATATTAAAAGGGTTGAATTTAAAATGGTTGTTTTTTCAAAACAAATTAAAACCACCCTATTTTACAAAACATTTTAACTCATATATGATCATAAAAACGTATGAAAATTAAATGACATAATTTAAACATCGATTACGTACATGAAAGAAGAGATATTAATCGAATGATTGGATAGGAAACATGGGGATAAAAAGAAAGAGCACGTATAGCTTAATCTACCGTATAAATTGTTGATTTAATTGTCTTTTGGTGTTCAGACAAGATTTTGTGAAATCTGCTGAGGGGTCATTCTCATCATCTATAAAGGTTGATGCCATACGAGAAAATGCCAAACATGATAAAAGGCAATACAATAATGGAACTCGTCTTTTTTGACAGGACCCATGCTTTTATAATATTTATGTTGTATTTTTACATATACTATAATTTAATATAATAATAAACAATTAATGTGCACATTTGTTGATATATAAATACCTTGCTTTAATATTAAAAGAATCCAAGAAAGAAAAAACAAGAGTCTCTGAAAGTGGTAGTGGCGGAATCATTGTGGTGTTCCTCCTCCTGACAAGATTTGCTCCTGTCTTGCTCAGACGATGATATCAAAAATAAATAAACTTAATTCAGATCTATATGGTAACCCGCATCACTATTCACTAATGGATATAATTGCTAAAAAGTTAATTTCATGTTTTAATATTTTAATTAGGGAAATTATTAATACACTATTTAACTATTAATTAAAGAAAGAGATTAATACAAATAATTGATTTACTGAAATTGGATCTCATGTTTATCACAAATTATTAGATTCTCATTTGATTATATATATATATATATATAACACATGTATATATATATATATAGAGAGAGAGAGAGTGTGTGTGTGTGTAGTGTTGAAGCAGGTAGTAGCGCACTTTGCCACTTGTTGGCTTTGGGTACTTCACAACTTAAAAATATGAAACTGCGGTTTTAAATTGTCAGGAGTAATCAATCATGAAATAGAATTATGTATGTATTGATGTAATAAATTTACAAAAAATGAAAGATCCTCATACAAACTCTACAAAATGAATATAAAACAACAATAACAGTCGATATAATTCGAGAATCTTACTCTTAATTTGTAGATTCTTGGTAAAACGAACACAAATTTAGACATGCACCAACACTGTGTCTTAAGACAAAATTCACCCGTAGTATTGGTGTTTGTGTAGAGGCTACAATAATCGAATTCAAGTTTTAACTTGAATCTATCAAATTATAAGATATGTTTGGTTGATGGTATTTGGAAAGAAAAAAGAGTGAAAACTAAAGAGAATTCGTAGTAATTCTTCCCCAAGAGGCTCAAGTCCAAGGCCCATCTTTTGATCTTTAATATATATTTATATACCAAGGAGAGGACACCATGAACACCCTGACACCAGGTCCAAACTCTTAAATGATTCATTTAATGTTCAAGGGTTGCCCTTTATTAAGTGGGTATAGTTTATATGAGGCTCCTATGTAGGACAAATTTCTCATATATAAGCCAAGGTCCAACACAAACTGCCCACCACTCATGATAATGTTTGAAAGTGGCTTTGATTAAGCATCATCGAACTTGAAAGACGATGCATCCTCACATTTCCCTGTTGATTTGGTCAAGTTGATGGAGATACCAAGAGGTAAAGATGTAGTGATGAACTTTTCTTTGGCACCATTTTGTGTAAATGTGAATAAGTCACCTTTAGTAACCTATCTCAGATCCTGGATCAAATGGACTGCACATATTTGGTGTTGGTTAACTTGACACCAAGACTGTTAACCAAGAGGACTGGACAAGTGTAGATGAGAAAGTTTTCCACAACTCTATTCCAGTATTGTCGATCATAAACACAATTATCCGCAGCGGCTGAGGAGATTGATTGAGTGGTGAGAAGAAAAGGTACAAAGAACTGTGATGGCTAGCTTCATGCTACAAAAATCGACTCTTATCACTTGGGGTTGGTAGAGTAATTCATTTGAGAAAAGATGTAAAAAAAGTAATTTCAATGCATATTAAACCGGCAAACAAATAAATTTTTTCAAGTGATATAATCATTTGAACAATGGTTCAATGTAATTTCAATAAAGTATACATTGTTTAAATCATTTTGTGGCTACTTTATCAACACAAAACACTCCACATATAAAAGCATCCACAATGTAGTTTTTAAGTGCTTTTTATGATGAGTTTTTTTTCTAACATACTTGTAAATTTTTTTGTTGGAGTTTTTTTTGGTCATAGGTCGTAATTGCATGACCTGTTTTTTCAGAGGTTTTTAATTCTTATTTAATCAATTTTAACTTTATAAATTTTTATAAAAGTTTCATACTTAATCAGTTTTGTTCATTAATATGATTAAAGTAATTATATTTAAATAAAATTAATAAATAAATAATGTAAAATAAGAACATAATTAATGTAAATATATTTTATTTATTTATTTAAATCAATGTTTCAAGTTTGTACATATTTTTCTACACTTTTTACGAATTTTTTTGACAACCCTCATTTTATTTATTGTTGTGCATACTTTTAAGTTAACTTTTTAATTTTATTGTACATATTTTTAAATTAACTTTTTCTTTAATTTTTATTGTACATATTAATTCTTTTACAATTTTTACAGATTTTTATCCAACTTTTTTTTTATACAATTTTATGGATTTTTTGGTTACCCAATTTTATTTTTTAATGTACATACTTTTAAGTTAACTTTTTTTTTTAATTTTTATAAACCATTTTTATATACAATTTTACAAATTTCTTAGTAATCCAGTTTTTATTTTTGATTGTACATATTTTTAAATTTAACCTTTTTTTTCTGACGTACAAACTTTTATACAAGTTTTTTAATCAACCAATTTTTATTTTTTATCGTACATATTTTTAAATAAATTTTTTAAATTTTATATAGTATATTTATTTCTCGATATAAATTAAATATGAATTTGTATAAATTTTAATATATTGATTTTCATAGATAAAAATATAAATGATATAAAGTTAAGATAGTGGAACCTGGAAAGTAAGAAAAAGCTTTAAACAGGTTTTTGTGATAGCGGACGTATATTAAGGTTTTTGAGTTGTTTTGAGTTGGCAATGATGTAAAACAAAAAAGCTATGAAAAACCTTAGTTGAAAAACCCTAAATCGAGGATGCTCTAATAAGTATGGTGTTCAAGCATGTGAAATCTTTTGAGGGGTCATTCTCATCATCTATACAAGTTCATGCTATACGGAAAGAAAAATGCGAAACATGATGAAAGGCAAATACAATGATGGAATTTGTCTTTTTGGCAGGATCTATCCTTATCTTGTCTTTTGGATGTCGTCGTACGTAATCCATGTACCATTTACTTTTTGAAACTAGACACTTAATTTGAGATATATATAAATATTAGTATTGATATTTAATTTGGGATGATGGAAGTGATAGACAATATACACATTTTGTTGATATATATAAATTCTCAAGGTACTTTATCTATACTATATTATAAAATATTTGACGAAAACTCTAAAAAATCATTTTACTGTTAATTAATGCATATTATTTAAAATCCAAGATTACAAGTAATTGTATATAAGTACAACTTATTAAAGTTTCATTTTTGAATTCGTGTAACTAACTGTAGATAAACATAATCAAATATAAGATAAACATCTCATTTTAAATATAAAAACTTTAAAATATAATTAAGATAATCATTGATTTCTAACAGAATACTTAATTATTATTTTTATAAAGATTATATTATTAAATTAAAAATAAATTACTTCATTATGAAACATAAATTAAATTTAAAAAATTGTACAAAAAAAGAGAATTTTTAAATAGTTAATTTGATATTAATATCGATATATTTTTTTTCAAAGTTTTATGATATCTTCAAATTTATATTTTATTTAAAAATAAAAACATTATTGTTTTCTCAAAAACCATGTAAAACCGTATATATACATCGACAAAAACAAATAATAAAATAAAATATTAAAATCGAAATGTATTTTTGCTAATATTCTTTTAGTCATATTAAAAGAATCCAATTGTTTCCGGAGTATTCCGGCCGTAAAGATTCCGCGGCTGTATTTTTTTCAACTTTTCGATTTTCCTCACCTTATTAATTAAATTAGTGATTAGGATTAAGTTTCCGACGGATTATCCTTATGTAATTTAATTAATTTTAAAAAAAAATGAATTTTATTTTAAAATTTAAATTAAATTACTGACTGATAATCCGCCGTAAATTTAAATATTTATTTTTACTGAATTATTTAAAAAAAATTGGTGGATTAATTTGTCACTAATCCAATGATGATCCCCTACAAATATTTATTCCAGAGAAAATCCGTGGGGAAAAAGTGTGTTTCTTTATTAAAATTTCTCAAAGACAACGATTGGATATGAATTAATCTCGATACTTCTTAGCACCGGCTCATGGTATTTTTAACAAGTTCAGTTATTTCAATCGATCCCGGCCCATATGTGCGTTTCAAAAGAACTTAATGAACTTGACTTCCATTATGATGATGATGCAGAATGCAGAATGCAGAATGCAGAATGCAGAAAGGAGTGTCCATGGACAGCAATCCATATGGAACAGTACGTCCTTGTTATTTCAAACTACAAACATAGATTAAGCAGATGCCTTCTTGAACACCAATTCCAAAGGAGTACCACTGGCACCAAGATATTTGATGCCTTTGTGAACACTACTGCTGATGTTAAAGCAACGACTAGGACCCGCACCACAAACCGAGGGGCACAGTTGAAGCAGGTAACTCGCCACTTTGGCATTTGTTGGCTTTGGGTACTTCACAAGCTGAAAACACGAAACGGGTGTGTTGAATAGCCCACCACTCCTGATAAAGTTTGCAGGTGGTTTGGATTCCATGTCGTCGATCTTTAGAAATGATGATTCCTTGCATTTACCATTCGATTTGGTCAAGTCGATGGAGACACCGAGAGGATACGATATGCGCAGAAACTGTTCTTTGGCAGCATTGAGTACGAATTCGAATGAGTCAGCCTTTTTCGGGTCCTGAATCACGTGGACTGGGCACTTGGAGTTGGATAACTTGATTCCACCTCCGTTCACCGGACCAATGTAGTAGGGTGAGTTTTTGTCGACCTTCTTCCCGGCAATGTCGTAAATGAAATCGTCGGTGGTGGCTGAGGAGATTGATTGAGTCTGAGTGGTGAGAAGGAAAAGAAGGAAGGGAAGAAAGAACAAGGATGGCTTCATGCTAAAAAGATCGACTTGTATATATACTTGTTGATGTGGTATGCAGAGGTTGGTATTTATAGGAAAAAGATGTCGACTTAATTTGCTCATGTTTTTCATGCATCTGTTTATATATTTTATTCATTTCTGGCTTTTTCACTAGCGTTTCCTTTTCTTTTTCTTTTCCCAGAAGCTGTCTGCGGATTTGCAGAAAGTCGTTAATAAAGATAGACCCTACGACAGCCATATTATATTTCATATATATATATATATATGACCACCACCACTTCCATAATATATATGATGTGCATACCAGATTTCATTTGCACCACAACTTTTTTGATATATAATATATGGCAAATTATATTAAAATGGAACCAACTTGCACATAATTCTTATTTTAGGGAACTAACTTTCAAAATCGTTATTTTGAGGAACCAACTTGCACCTGATTTCTATTTTTGGGAACTAACTTTCAAAATCATCTTTTTGAGGAACCAACTTACACCTGATTCCTATTTTGGGGAACCAACTTGCACCTGATTCCTATTTTGGGGAACCAACTT